TCCTTCGTCAGTTTTGGTATCATCCTCGTCTGCTTTCGACATAGACTCTTATATGCGTCTTACATTCCATTCGACAATGGTGGAATACATTACTTCCATGCTATATTTCAGCTCTTTTGGGGTCTCATTACATCAGAGATATGTCTCCTTGGTCTGTTCATTCTCAAAATCAGTCCGACACACCTAGGTCATGACATCGGCCAAATCGTCCTTGTTTCCCTTACTCTTTTCGTGACTCTAAAGTACCGAGCAATTTTGCAGCAAGTTTACCAGCCACTTCTCAAGAGTCATGGGGTTAATATGGTTGATGAACCAGCCCATGGAGCTGACAGCTCTCCTGTTCGAGAGAGATTTTGCGCGCCAGCATGGAGATCCCAGAGTCCGATCCATTCAACATCCAGCAATAAGGCCACTGGAGATGCGATTATATGGCTGCCAAAAGATCCACTCGGCATTTGTGACCTCTTGCTAGACACAGTCAGGCGGAGGTATTTTGGTTTGCAACGGGGGAACAGAGAATATTGCACCAATTCTGGTGCGGAGATGAAACTATCTGGTCAGGTCTTGCTCCAGGTAGATACTGCAACGTCGACTGAGAGGTTCGAGAATCGTCTCTCCTAGAAGATACCGATAGACATAGACAACTCCTCCGTTACGAGCCTCTTGTTGCCGCCGCCAAGATTTTATGAAGGATATCTTAGCATCCGTATCCCTATCCTCGGGGAATTCGACCCAGGGGTTTTAAGGACTGTGTATACAGAAATCAATTAAGTAACGAGTAGTAAAAAGTAAATAAGGAGCACACGAAAACAGAGAATCAACATCTGCATTTCGTTATCTGCGGAAGACTGTTCGCGACTAAAAGGTCGGTATATATAAGAAGCAGGAAGGGAACTAGTATGCTTTGACACCTTATACTAGTTTCTGTTTTAGGGACTGCACGGAATCTGGTGGGTCGTTTTCAACCTCGCCCTAGAAAGGTATAGGTCACTGTTCTCGACCATAAAGCATGTCCCTCGATAAAAGGTAGCCTTTCTGAGCTATTCGAAGGCAATGTAACCGTCAAATATACAATTATGGTCTGGGGACGGACCATCCTCTTACTGTGAATGGAAAATATGTCTTCTTGTCCGCATGTGCAATGGCTCGGCCTAGAGGGCTCGGCGCCCCATTGGTCTCTCCTAGAAACAGATCGCCTGAACTTGATCACAGACCACTTACGAGACCCTCCGAGCCAATTTCCCTCGATAATATTCTTTATTGGGAGAAAATCAAAGACTACAGCCTTGAAAGGGCTGTATGCTGGAAACAATCCCACCAGGCGTCGGTCTCACGGAATTGCAAACCTATATGTGGACTCGAATACAACTAATTCTGATCGCCCCATCATTTTTGCCGACTGTACAATCAATGCAGACTGTTCAGTCGCGACAAGTGATTGCAGCAGCTGCCATGATCAGCGACGCGTTCCAATTCATCGGATGGAAGGCGAATCCAGCATGAAGCTGATTAACGTGGTCGCACACGTCCACCTTAACCTTCTCTTCCCCTTTACCCATATAGTATGTATCTTCGCCGATGACCTCGGGGGAAATCTAGCTTGTGCTCGATACCTGGAGACCTGGCTTGAGCTTGGCGTGTGGACCGCCGACGGCAACGCCCGTACATGTCCACAATTGGTCATCGTGACCACTGATACTGTGGAAGTGAATGCCCTTGTACAGACTGAATCCCATACCAAGTTCGCCTCGTTCTTTGACTCATTGGTCATTTTGACCTCCAGTGTGTCGAAATCGCCGAGTGACCCGGCGTCACAATTTCTTCAAGCACGTCTGGCATACATCCTTGATGATGTGCGTGACGACCATCGGAGCCGCCATCTCCTCTTCAGTGCCCAACATATGGTGGAGGCATTCGCTGGGGCGGTCCAACAGTTTGTGCGAGGACCAAGGAAAGCCGTGGATTTGTTCACATGCCTAGCACCGCCCATCGACCCTCTGTCCAACTTCAATGTTATTTTACAGAGATTTTTCTCCATTGCGGCCAAGATGGGCGTCGCTCCAGCAGTCGTCTTTGACTTCATTGCGTCTGCAATGTTGGTACAGGCCTATCAGAAGCAAAGCCACCGTGGGTGCAGAAGGATATCCAGCCGAGCTTTCCTCTTCAAGCCTAGATACTGACAGACGACAGGCTTTGCTCCAACGCGAGTATTCGACGTCTTCTTCTATCGAGATTTGGACTCATGTCAGACTGTTCCATGCTACGATAACGTTTTGGCCATTCGGGCTCGGTTCCTGGACCATTTCAAGTCTCTTGGGCCGGGAGCTTCCGCCATTGTGACGCGGCAGAAAATTTTGCGGCAACAGCGGCCTCAATGGAGGACCCTGAAATCAACCACACATTGTTTTCTCTGCATGGCAAGGCCGTCAGAAAGGATGTTACTTTGTGGCCACAGCTTATGCGAGGAATGTATTCGAGACTACTACCCGGCAGATATAGCCCCATACACGTACTGTGTTGGCATTTGCGAATTCTGTGGCGTCGATGCTCTCAGTGTTTTCTCTTGCAAACCTGTCACGGTGGAGCCGAATATTGCTGCGATTGACGGTGGCGGTGTGCGCGGCGTGGTTGCCTTGGTGCTATTAAAACGTTTACAGGCTGCGCTTGATACTGGTCAACCAATCTGGGAGTACTTCGATTCTTTCATCGGAACAAGTGTCGGTACGACAACCTAGCTTAACACATGGCACCCGCTTAATAATAGCTACAGGAGGGCTCATTGTCCTAGACCACGTGGTCTGCGGATCATCAGTCGATGCGAGCATTGAACGTTTGGCAATCATATCTCGACGCATTTTCCCGAGTAAATCGTATGGTACTATGGCGCTCTTTCGACGTCTACTTGATTGGCTGGCTTGGTGGTTCAGCGACAATAAGTATGACTCGGGAGTACTGGACGACGTGGTACAAGACGCCTTTGGTGTTCATCAACGTTTGTTTGATTCGCGAAGCCAACATCCGGCGGGGGTCAAAGTTGCAGTAACGGCAACCACCGTGTCGACTTCTCAACTTCGACTCTTCACCAACTACAACGGATTGGCGAGGTCCAAGCAAGGCAAGGGTGGGTGAACTCGCCCAAATTGTTCGCGTCTAACCAGAACTATAGGCTATGCTATTCTACGGCCCCTCCAACCTTCAGCGGAGCCGTATCTATGGGAAATGTTAGTCATATGGCGAGACCAACCGAGATTTTGCTGACCTCACTAGTGCCCGAAGCACCGCTGCAGCTCCAGGGTGAGTCCATGAACGTAGTATATCTTACCTTAGGGGTCTTCGCTGACACACGGCCAGTTACTTTCGGCCCAAAGAGATTGCACCATTCGGTGCATTGCAGGATGGAGGCATTAGAGCTAATAATCCAACAGATACGGCTCTGTGGGAACTGAATTGCATCTGGCCCGAGTCAAACGGGCCTCACCTGGTTCTCTCCGTTGGGACGGGTTGCCAAAAACCTGTGAGTCATGAATTAGGGCCGTATCGCGGCGTATGGTTGGACGGATTCATTCCGAGAATCCTGCGTGCCTTTTTATCTTCGCCGTCCTTAGACGCTGAAAGCAGTTGGATGGCTCTCTGGAATCGTCTGGATGCCAATACCCGAGAGCATTACCACCGCCTGTCTTGTGAATTCGATGGCGAGCTGCCCGATCTGGATGACAGCTCCCAGATTCCTCGACTGATTCACATGACCAAGAGCAGTACTGTCGACTATGACACATTGAAGTGTAAATTGTGGGCGTCACGATTTTTTTTTGAACTCAGCTCAAGACCACAACGCATTCGTGGTTACTACATCTGTCAAGGCAATATTCTTTGCCGGTCTCGAGACTGTCGTCCAGTCATCGAGGCGATCTGTCGCTGTTTTGATTCACCTAAAATTGTAGTGGAAAACAAACCGATAATTGACCTGCCCGACGGCACTTGCTTCTGCGAAAGCTGTGGATATTTCCAGAAAGAAGTGACGTTCGAAGTTTCCCACCTCGGACACGTGGCTTCGTTCTACTTGGAGTTCGATGACTTTAGGCAGAGTCCCTTAGCCAGCTTTCCGAAGCCTATGGCGTGGTTTATGGCAAGGCAGCTGAGACATGGCAAGTTATTCCAGTGGAAACCGGGATCTCCATGCTGTGCAAGAGGGCCAAAAAGGGAGAGGGCAAGTTCGGCCAGAGGTAAAGCGAAGCGGCGAAAGCTTATATAATGCTTTAGCCGAATAGAGATTCTACCTCTAGGTTCACGAGACTATCGTGGCCTACGACTAGATCTAGACGTCTATCAGTTTGGTTTCGAAGTAGTAGAGGTGTTGGACGCCTATAAGGTTCTTAGAAACAGTGATTCTTCTAGAAAATGAAGGGTGTGGTTGATCCTTATGATCATGGAATCGACACGAACCCGCTTCACGAAGATAATTCTTTCTATGCCACCGGGATTTGTGCCTTAAATCTATCTAACGCAATCGCAGTTCCCTTGGATACCATAAGCCGCTGTTTAGCCATCTAATCGTCTGTACGGTTATAAGAACCCTTCTGTAACTCTAGCTAGTGCCGTACGATATAGATTGGAAAAGCTAGGTATGATCTAGAGGTATTTATATTTCGAAGATACAGTCTGGGGTCTTAGCTGCTGTAATCTAGAACAAAGTTGCTAGGAATGCGATCCGACGCTTGCCAACCCAGTGCACGAATTTCATATCTGTAGCAAGCTCTGCTGGCGCATTCACCTCCCTAAAGCAAGCATCACTCAATAAGTCACGCCTCCTGAC